CAGAGCATTCAGCTTTTTCTCCCCTTCGTCTTTGTTGTCTTCAGCTTCCGTTCTGCCCTTTGGTTAAACATTCTCCTGGCATGCACGGTCCCATTTAACTTTGATTTCCTCCTTTTTTCCAGGACGGCATCTTCGATGGTTTCAATTTCCAGCCCATTCCCCAATTTTCAACCCCAATGACAGACAACACACGCCGGAATGGCTGTTTAGTCGTACAAGAGGTAAGTGATGTTTTTAAATCCTGTTTAAGATGGGGGGAGTTTGTTACAGATAAGGACTTGCCAGGGGACAGAACAGGAAGCTTGTGTGACTGCGCTTTATTTTAAATATGGCAACTTCGTTATAATGTGCAATATTTTCATTTCAATTTTTTATAGATTTTTAAATAATGGGTAAAAGGTTATTTGTGAGCTGGTTAARTTTTAATGATKATCTAATAAATAATAATAATAATTATACAACTCAGATCTGAACAGCAAATCRTTTTGTAAGCCTTAAAGTCCTGGTTTTATAGAGCCTTAAAATTTGAATTACAAAAAAAAAAGGTCCAGCAAAATATTTCTTACAGTATGTAAGTTTGTGTTTAAAATCTGAGAGTTTTGATTTTATTTTCTAATTTATTACATTACTAAGTAAAGATTGTGTCCTGTCATTTTAAAGCTTTAGGTGGTTTGCATGTAGTCCTTAGTATCTAAAACCACGAAGATGTAGGATTGRAAAAAACGTGTGTGCAGCTCAGTGAAAGCAGGAGTGAACCTTCAAATTCAGTCTTTTCTGTCTCCCTGCAACTCTGTCATAAAACGCAGCGCCCCATTTCCATATCAATCGGATTAGTTCCGAGACCGGGGAAGTAGGAGTAATGTAAGTAACCGTACAAATTTAAATATAGGACATCAAAAACATTGTTAGAGATTCATTTATTTTTGAAGCAGCTCTGGCTCCATGTTGCTCTCTGTGAAGATGAGATGGAAATGTATCGCCTTCATTTTATTTCCACTTTATTTTGAAAAGGCGCAGAAACACTTCAGTATTCTAACGTCTTATGAGCATCAAGGGATTCTGCAGCTCTTATGTGTTTAACCTCTTTTGTAAAACGGCTGTGTCACATTAAGGAGTGCACTTGTTTAAAAAGCAGCACTGAAAGCTGGGCAGTGTGAACACAAGCTGCACTCTGTTGCCGCTGACACGAACAATAAAAAGGTCGGCTGCTGGATTCCAACATGTAGTCATTTTATGTATTAGAACACAGCTCTGTTATTGTGTTYTTAACTTGTTTAAATGTCCGTTTCACTGAAATGGTAAACCAAAACCAAAAACTGTTTTCTGTGAATAAAGCAGTTACTGAGCGCTGAATGAGTCTGCTGAAATTAGTTTGAGAAGTTAAAATCTCATTTTTAAAGTTAAAACAAGCAGAGCAGAAGCTAAAATGAGCAACACATCTCTACAAGTTAAATGCAGTTAAACCATAGCTGCATGTAGAAAAAAGCTAGAATTTGTTAAAATAAAGCTAAAAGCTAAAAATCGATAAAAGCTAAAATTCTCAAAACAGTAACAATAGCAAAACCTTAGCCAAAAACTGCCCATTGCAAAATTAAATTCTAGATAGAAATGAGAAAAACAGCAGCTAAAAGTGAAATCTAGCTAAATATTTTCTAAATGCTAAAATTTGTAAAACTTTTAGTCAAAAGCCCACGTGTAGCAAAACGGTAGCCTAGATAAGAGCTAAATTCAGCTAAACTATAGCAGCTAAGCACTGGTAATAGCAAAACTGCAGCTGAAAGAAAGATGCTGCAATACTGCAGCTAAAAGCTAAAATTAGCAAAACTGTAGCCTAGGAAAAAGCTACATTTAGCAAAACCATAGCTAATAAGTTCAAATAGCAAAACTTTAGCTAAAAGATAACTATTGCAATCCTGCAGCTAAAAGCTAAAATTAGCTAAGCTGAAGCCAAAAGCCCACATGTAGCAAAACTTTAACCTAGATAAATGCTAAACTTAGCAAAACCATAGATAACTATAATTAGCAATGCTGCAGCTAAAATCTAAAATTAGCAACCTTGTAGCTAAAAACAAAATTACGATGGTAAAGCAAGTTGGAAGTAAATTTCAGAAAACAATGATTTTTTTTAATAACTTAGTTTGGTGTATCTTATGGGAATATATATTCTCCCATACTTATATAATTAGAAAAAAATATAAAAGTTACAAATATTAAAGGTCATATTTCACATTAAAATGTAAAACACATTTTATAGACTCAAACTTGTTTTGCACTTAATCATATAAATTTTAGACGTTCATGTAGACACTAACAAAAGTTAAAATAAAAGCAATGTTTCTTTAGATTACAAATGGTCACTTTTTCCTGTGAACAAAGAGTGAACCACGTTGGGGGACATGTTGGACTCGTTCAGAGCCTCAGAGATCAGGAGGTCAGTGTTGGTGAGTCACGCAGAGATTATTCAGCAGTCTGTGTCTGGACTGATCAGAGCGTCCCCGTCTGGATGAGGAGATGGATGGATGCCTGTCTGTGCCTTTTCAACCCTTCATGACTTACTCCGTCCCTCCGWAATTGAAAAACTAGCTTGTCTGTGTTGTCTTGGGATTTGTCCCTTTTATAATGCAGCTCCAAAACAGGAAAAGCAATAGTGGGAATAGACCCCCAAATGTAATTAATTTTGTAGTGGCGGGGGGGATGAAAGGGGGGGGTATTATTGCAGGAGGAAGAATTCTAATCAGTTGCAGATTCCTTCCTGTTTGGTTAGCGTGACCGTGGCCAATTACCAGTGAACTCTGTGTTACAGTTTCACTTCCTGTGCTACCCGAAAAACGGGCCGAGGCCGGCGATGCACAGCCTGCTTGTATCGGGGTGGGAGATGGGGGGTGGGGCTGGGATTGGAATCTCAAGTCAGATCTAAGTTGCAGAGACGTGAAAGCACACAGGTTCTTTATCCAGCTTATATAAGACACAACATGTGGCTTCACGAAGGAAATGAAAGGATTTTCAGACCTGACTTCTCGTGCTGCTCGAGCGGTTCTCAGGTAAACTGCGGCGCGGCAGACTGAACTCGACACAAACGCAATAACAACGCAGAGATCTTATCAAAAGACTCACCGTTTGCCAAGGCTGTTTTCTCTTCCATCAAATCAAACCGGAGGAGTTAAACATCTGAACTACAATTAAAGGATCAGATCAGTCTACTATTTTGCTAACTTATAATTCATAATTTTGGAAGGAGAGTTCTTTTTGTACAAATAATATTTTACATATTGCAGATCTTTTAACAATCATATTTTGGAGTAAAATGAAATCTGACTTCACCGATGATATAAGCGAGACAAAGACAGAAGTGGACTGTTGCAATTCCTGCAATTATTTTTATATTTCTGCAATATGTGCTTCAACCAGGGCTATCATTATTTTGCACCGTTTTGCAACAAGATGCTTTATTCATGCTGTTTGTCTTTGTGGAACTGTGTATTAGGTGCACAAAATAACACAATTGACCTGATTTTATTTTTCTAGATGATATAAAATATTTTTGCACTGCAGCATTAAAGAGCATCATTGATGTCACTCTTGATAAATGAAATAAATACAGATGGAGCCGCACAGACACATAAGTGCCACAAGTTATAAGATCAAATTGTCTTTCCTACGAAAATCCAATAAATCTGTTTTGTTTTACCCAACAGATGACATGACATTTATTACCATTTTCCAGCACACTTGCAAACATCTCATGAGGCCCAGAACTGAAGCGGTTACACGAGGAGTAAACTACTTAGAAGATGTTCAAGGGATGATGCAGGAACTGGCAATATGAAGTGAATTCCCTTGGAAGCATGCATCGCACGCACACACATGCACACGACAGAGAACATGAGAAATGGGCAAACAGCCACACTGTTCAATGTGAACTGGCGGGTCCAAGTCGCTAAACTAATCCCGGTACCACAAGATCCCACTTTCAGCCAAGTCTTCTGCTGCAGCTGCCTGGGATCATTTCACAAACACAAGGTATTCCTGGAAGAATTGATTCTGTTAGATAGTACATTGATCACACACATCGCCTGCAGACAGAAGATGGCTTTACAAGCAATAAGATGGGAGACAATTATATTATTTTAGTGAAATAAGACAGAGTACAAGCAGCCAGGGCCAATAGCCCAGGCAGGGGAGGGGGGCACAGGCGGCCCCCCCTCTGCGGCTGCCTCGGTGTGTTTGTGCTCCATCCTCAAGTGGCACGATAATCCACTAAAGTTTCCTCCACCCGCTTCTCTCAATGCAATCAGGATGCGAAGGCTCACCAGTGATTGCGTTCATTTGTAAAAGCATCCAAGCCAAAATTGAACCCCAAGGCTGATAAACTATAAAGATGCTGATCAGATCGCAGCTAAGGAGTCCACACTTGAGGGCACAAGTGTCAGGGCTGGAGCCAAAAGAGCAATGACTCTGTATACCTCAGTCAGAGCCAGGCGACCGCCCCGGAATACAAACAAGACCAGAGCAAACGCGTGAAAAAAAAAAAAAAAAACGACGGCAAAACGCAGCAGGATTTTTCATCAGGTTGCATCTTTCAGAGGCGGCAGATTAGCAGCTTTTAGACTCCATTTGTTTCTTTGTTTTTTATGGACTCGGTGGATAAATGGAGTGCWTTTACCGCTAAAACTTCGGCAAATGTATTTTATTGATGGACTTTATGTGAATTGCRTAGTGAATCACAAGAAAAGTAGAAGAGTTATCAGTAAACGTGCTGCGTAGCTCTGCTTTTTAAAAGTTATTGCAGCGTATGAAAGCAGCTATGCATTAAATAGTGCCGTTTTAAAGCATTTACTCCAAGAATTTTCTGGATACCTTTACAGTTTTCTATGCTGGAATGCAGGTCCTCACTCACTRTAAACAAAGCACTCTGCTCAATCCCCTGAAAACCATGTGGATGCTTGAGTCACGTGATTGATGTACATTAGGTCTGGTGGAGATGGTGGAATCTTTGAAGATGTTTAGTTGAAGATATAAAAGTAAATCTGCTGTTGAATCCAAAAGAAAAGAGGGCTAAGACAGCGGTCAGGTGTAAATTGGCGGAGCTACGTAAAGAACAAGATCAACATTCAAACATGCTCAGATTGTGCAAAACATCCGTTTGACGGTAAGTTTCCTGTTTGACCTATTTTTAGTCACTTTAGTGCTCCTGCATGGTTTTTAACTTTTACCTTTTTAT